TTGCCGTGCTGGGTGATCTGTTAAGTTGGTTCATGGCATTATTTATAAAAGTGCCAATTTTTTATTTTAAGCCTGGAAATAACAGAGGTTACATTGCCGTCTTAAGAGCGTGTTAGACCGGACAATGCAGTATACATATTTCAAAAGAGGGTGCGCTCAGAAATGCATCAAGCCAAAGCATCAATCAGTCTTTTATTTCTAAACTATAGTTGATATAAATTTCAAATATGCGCAACCAAACCTTAAGGTTATAAGCCGAATTGGAACTTAGTTGCGTAAATAAGTCATTTCCATCAATTATAGTTTAGAAATGAAAGACACTGATGCTTTGGGTTGATGCATTTTTGAACGCATCCAGACTGTCAAATTGAGGCGAATTGCAGGGAAAATTTCTGAAATCGCTTTTTGACTGTTTACACGGCGAATGAATTTCTAGCAATATTTCTCGATACTAAAATGCAACTGTGACCCGCTAAAATAAAAATAAAAAATATAAAAGCAAGATAACGAAAAATAAATGGGTTTAGAAAAACATATGAAATGGGACGATACTATCCATAGTTTCCCTTAAGACTATCGTAAAACATCGATGGACTTGACTATCGATAGTTTGACAGCTCTACTCGTACGGGATCGCATCTAAGGGCCTGTGCCAATTGATAGAAAAGTTCTCTGGATAGTAAATTTTTGACAGCTATGAGGTGAATAAAAATGTTTGATACGGCAGGGCTAGTGAAAAATTTGACAGCAAGCATTATCAAGAAGAGGAACGAACAACGCACGTATACACATAAATTAAAGAAAACAAAAGCGAGTGGAAATAAAAGAACATGGTCCCGCCGGCAAAAAAAATAATGAAAAGCTATATAACTTGTAAGATTTAATTTCAGATTTACATATGAAAAGGCGTTATGTATTTGTTTAATTAAAAATACTATTTTACAGGGAGCAGTTCAGAACGCAGAATCCTTCTGGAAAAGCGCATTGACAAGGATGTTTGGTTCAGTTCAAAGAACGCCAACAGCAACCAAGGCTGGAAGTGAGTAAGAATATAAATAATTTGAAGACTTTATTAAGCAAATGACTTCGTACTCCACTGACCATCCGTGGCGCTTTTTGGGAATGTGAGTTACAATTTTTCGAAACGAAGCAGAGGACAACCTAAGATACATTTTTGTAGTCTTGTTATCGCCGTTCATAATGCTGCTTAGTATTTTGGAATAAACGTCTTGTTGCATATACATAATACCCTAAAACGACATATGTTTTTATTGGAAACAATTGTACCCGGTTTAAACATTTTTGTGAACACACTTACCAGACGATTTTGACGTGTTTTTTATTTCTAATATTACTGCTAAAAGGTCTAATAAATGCATGGATTTCAGTTCCAGAAGAATTGAAATCATCAAAAGCAAATATTTTCTATATAATGGCTGCATTTTATAAATAGCAAACTCGATAGTCTTCTTGTGCATCAAAGCAACTGTCAAAAATTTCCAGCAGTAAAAAGTTACGAATTGGCACAGCAGAAATGTAAAATTTTCTCACCATAGTAAAAAGTTTTTCCACCATAGAACTTTTCTATCAATTGGCACAGGCCCTAAGAGCGTGTGTGAATCGGTAACAAAGTTCGCGGCAAGTAAATTTTTGACAAGTTTGAGGTGAATAAAATTTAAGTAGCCCATGAGGCTAGTGAAATTTTTCACAAATGCATAGAAAATATTGACAGTTGCAAAGATTGCTGCTGTGTGTAGTTTTTCGCAAACAAACGTAAGTTGATGAACTGCAATCAATGATGGTAGATGTTTTCTTAAAATATTAATTTCACTAAATTTGTAATAGTTTATTGCGCATAAATCTGCGGTCATCAAAAATTTACTGCTGTCAAAAAAGATTTCATTTCACACAGCAGATTGGCAAAACTGTCACACCATAGTAAAAATATTATTCAACAGCTTTCCCTATAGAACTTTGTTACCGATTCACACACGCCCTAAAATATAAAACTATCGATAGTGCTAAGAAAAATTTGATAGTGGAAACAATAGGTTTGTATAGTAACCAACAGAGTTGGGCATTATTCGAATAAATTGTTATTTAGATAATTATTCGAATAAAATTTTATCCGTAATATAATTATTCGCAGATAACTCATACTATATAAACCTAATATGAAACCATCGATACTATCGATAGCTTCATCGATAGGGCACTGTCACACGCTCAGTATTTATTGACGTGATCCAAGTATCGCGATATTTATTGATGGTGTAGCATGCAGTATTGATGGATCGTGATCCATATCGCAACATTTTTAAAAATTTTGAAATCTGGATCGCGGATCGCAATACCATCAATACATATTGAACGTGTAGCACTTTCAAAACGAGATCCATACATTTCGTCAGTACATCTTTTACTCTCATAATGCGAACATCGGCTCTGCCTTCGCTCTCGGGGCTTAAAATCTTGCAAAACAAATTTTAATTAACATTGGAAATTTTAAAATAATTGTGGAATGCATTATCTGTAAATTATACGTACAAAATAAAAATATTTTCTTGCGTCATAATAAGCTTTCAGCACAAAAATTATGCAAATTCTGACGCGATAAATATTGAACATGTAGCATTCGTGCGCGATCCATCAATCCATCAGTATGGATCGCGATCCAAATAACGTGATAATTACTGACCGTGTGACAGAGCCCATAGTTCTCCATCACTACGGGCGAAGAAACTACCTGATCTTAATACTATTGAAGGAAAATAAAATAATAAGTTAATTAGATTCCGGCGTTTAAAAATCAACGAGCGAGGTATACAAATACAGGTCGAGGACCAGTGAGCTCTTATTTGCAAATATGAGTTTCTCCAGCGATGAAGTGAATTTTTTAGTATACAGATACCTACAAGAGTCCGGTATGGTTATCGCAAACAACTTGCTTTTCCATAAATAATATTAAATATTTTGTAGGCTTCGTGCATTCGGCTTTTGTATTTGGCGTTGAGTCACATATTTCACAGAGCAACATAAATGGCGCATTGGTTCC